GAGAATCATTACAAAGGGGATACAACAGTGTTCAATTCTTTTTTAGAAAAAATAAAAAAAACAAAACAAAACAAATGTAGTACTCTAGTACACAACCTAATTTCAAAAGTACAATATCAAGCAAAGTCATTGTTATTCGGGACATAAAGTTCCAGTTAATTCATCTTTGGTATCTTTCTGTTTTTGTGCATACATGGGATCTAATATATTTTCTATTATTTGAATAAAGAAATCATATCAAGGTTACAATTTAAAGAAATTTACAACATGACCATGTCATTCCATGAAGGTAACATGTTCTATCCCTGTTGAAAAGAAAGAAAGAAAAAACAATGAGATGACTTTCTCTCCCATTAATTCCACTGTCAAATGTTATCAAAGGGCTAATGCAATTTACATAATTTCTTGTACAGGGAAAAAATCATTATTTTAAAGAAAATATTATTTTGGAATTTCAGTTGATCCTGAAAATATCAACTAAAGCTAGGATGAAATAGCTTTTTCTGCAAAAAAGTATGGTCTTAAAAAAAAAAAAAAAAAAAAAAAAAAAAAAAAAATTCATCACAGATACTATAGATTAGTTTTAATATCCAAATAGAATTGCATGTGATGCGCTTTTGGTGGTTTATTTAAATAAATAAAAAAACTAATGTTTGATTTTTGTTCAAACAGAGTTTACAACATTGCCAGACAGCCCCTCCTCTGCCCCAAGCCGTAACGTGTCTCCCTCTTTCAATGACCAAACGTCTCACTCAGATGCTCTGGTGATAGAACACGAACCCACGAATTGATACCCGCATATACCCTCCAGCACAGAGGCACATACCAGGGGACTCGCTTAGCGGATCTCGACTGGGAAGCTGACGGCAATACCATGAGAGATATTTAACCAGATTGGCACCAATAGCGGTAAAGACGCGCAAACGGGAGGGTCGAAAAGCAAGTGGGAGACTGAGCGGGGGTACCAGGTTGGCAGGTCGATTGGGTGGGTCGAGAGAGGGGAAGGAGGAGGGAAGGATCTGGGAGTGCTGCTGCTGCCATGCATTATTATTCTCAGTTTGACGCTGAGTGGGTCCACCTTCCGATTGGCGTGACTAGTGGGGGTACAAAGATTTGCATGCCACGTGGAGGATGGGGTTTGGGAGAGGGGATCTTGGTTGTGCTAAAGGACAAGGAGAGGAAAAGATTCTGCTCCCCCACCTCCACATCGGAACTCGGGGAGAGGGAGAGAGTGAAGGGAAAGAGAAAGGGCCTTGGAGTTAGTGAAACAGCCGATTTCGACTTCTTCTCCTTCTTTTTCTTTCTCCCTTTTCCTTTTTCCTTATTTATTTATTTATTTATTTATTTATATATTGTTCCCCTTTTCTTCCCCCATACGTTGTACTTGGATCTGGTACCGGTTCCCTGTCATGGTGCTGCTGTCCCTCAGTAGCACATCCTAGAACTCCGCTCTTTTGGACACCCTCCCCCTCCCCCAATCCCCCGGCCTCATCATCCGCTTCCCGGGTCCCACCATCGACCCTCTCTCTCTTGCCTTCCTCCCCTCCCCTCCCCTTATTCTCTTCTCATTGTACAACTTGTATTTGATATATATATATATATATATATATATATTTTAAAAAAATTAGGGCTGTGTATGTGTATACAATATGATTTCACCAATTCTTTTCAAAAATATACGATAAAAATTCTGTACATAGAGAATAATATGTATATAATGAAAGTGTGATACAGTTTTTAGTAACCCATGAATAATCCATGCCTTGCGTCATTGTAGTACATTGTATTTTTTTTGGTACGTTTTTATTTTTATTATATCTACTATTAAATGCATTATAAAATGTTGTCAAAGATTAGGGTTGTAAATATTACCGTTGTTCTATTGGCGTTTTTATTTATTTTTACTAGAAGAAGCATTGTGCTGAATCTGAAGCGAGTGTAGGGAAGGTATTAATTTTTTTCTCAAGGTATGTAGATATATTTACCTATAATGTATGTGCGTAATAATTTTTTATGTTCTCTTTCCAAAATACGAAAAATTAAACATGAAATAATAACTTCAATTTCATACAAAGAGGATTCGCATATACAATTGCATCCAAATGCTCGCACACCCAAAAAAAATGCGCGGTTCAAAGGAAAAAATTACTTCAGTCTAATCCACCATGTAGTATTCTCACAAACTTCACCGTTGAGATCCATGTACCATTTCCAATATTACTTCTCAACATTGTTGTGAACACTATTCGTGAGGGGCGTTACTGTGAAGTTAAAAGAGAGGAACTTTCACTTCTTCCGAGGAACGAAAGCAAAGAAAAAACTGGAACGAGAAGGGAAAGAAATAGAACCCAGCTCAAGAGACTGGAAATTCGTGTGTTCAAATCATTGCCCAAAAATGAACAGATTCAGTGTATACTCTTATCCGAGATCGATACAAACAGAGGAAAAAACAGCGAATTGCTGAAAACGCTGATGGTCCTGAATACAGGTGTTATCGCGATATATGCGGCTCAAAACTGGAGCACGAGATGAGCTGGCATGACATTCCTCGAGCAGATCTTCGGCTCATTCAAAGCTTTTCAGTGGATTCGACTAAACTGATGATTATTAAAATAAAAAATGCCATGAGCTTCCAGATACAGTAAACTGCGCTTCACTAGTACGACGAATTGATCGCCTGCCACAGCTAACATTGAGGATCGAGATTCCAGCATTTGGCTTTCCAAATATGGATACGTGTTCGCAACTGATGAATGGCGTTGTTACAAGTCAACCCCACTGTTATCTGTTAGCCTTATTATAAATTACAATTTGTATACCATGCATCAATTTTAGATTTGTCAATAGAATGTTTAAATATAGGTTATCTAAATTGGAACATAGAAGCTGAATCGCCCTAAACTGGATCAGCCACCGCTGGTCTAGACAAGTGGGTATCCCAATGACTACTGCAAGTACTTCCAGGGCCCAAACTCAAGTTCGGTAGTTCATTGGTCATTTTAAAAGTCGATTAGGGCATGATCTTTGCCCCTAATCTTACACCAAACCTAATGATGCTGTCTGAGATCGATGCTAACTTTACTACAAATCTAAATTTAGGAGAAGAACACCAGGTACAGTTGCTTCATCACCACCTTACCTCATTTGCTTACAATAGCATGAGGTCATCACCAATAGGGTGTCTAGAACTGCGACACCCACCAGTTTCATCTGTTGGACAGAACGCCCAATATCATGACGAAACAGTGAAGGAGAAATGGCAAAGGGAAAATGATAAGTGAAAGGACATCATGCGCTCACGTCCTAGATTGTTCATCCACTAGTTATTATTCCGTCGTCCACAAGATTTGCATGTCATTGCTCATCATTTCAAACGGAATTGCTGATTGAAATCTAATTTGCATGCAGGAGGTCACAGCACATTGTTATTATACTCTGGTTGGCGCAGATCTGACCAACAGATGGCGCTATTCGACTAGCCAAATCCACTTGGGGTGCCTATCCTCAGGTATCTCCACTCGCTAATGTGAGAACCGACGGAATATCCACCGTCTGTTATAGGGGTTTCGGGTTCTCATTTTGCTGCTGCCCTAAAATGGATCCCCCTATTTAAGAGGCGTGTGCCACTGGTCTGTTATTTCATCCCCTGGTTGGATATGCTGGAAATTGACGGCATCGTATATTCTTATTACCAAATGCCCTGTACGGATAAAATAGTCATTTCCCTACGTACTCCGAGAGCGGCTTCTGAGTTCAAACTACTCAACTGACGCAATCATGGAAGGAAATGTAGGGGGGGCCCAACACGCAGGTTAACTGGAAAGAGAAGGCGAAACATAAAACCATGAAATAGGGGGGGGGGGAAAAGGAAAAAGTAAAAAAAGGGTGAAAGCAGGAGAAAGGACAGTCACTGGAGATCTACTGAATCAAGGTCTACGCATTCAATCACGGTTGAGTACAACGATACTTTAAACTGCAACAGAAGAGCAACATTACGGTGGCAGCAGAAGTCATGCAGGCCATGGCAGAGTGGATTAACAAGCTCACAAGTTAAGAATCGACTAGATCTGTAAAGAAACAGCCACGCTATAGCGAAGACAATGGCAATGCCCTGAAAACAGGAGGAAGGGGACATTGGAACAGGGTCCCGCGTTTCCATCACAGTAAATTTGACGTCATGATGAGACCCAACAAGGGCAAAAATCTAGAGTGGTGATAGCAGGGCAATGGACAATCTGGAAAGAAATAGGCCATGCGCAGCAAGACGCACTCATTCACACTTGATGCTGCCTCAATTTGGGGCGGGTACATTTCTCGAGCCAGACAGACACTGAATTGATTTGCACGGCGACCACTGCTACCTACCAAGTCAGGCAGGCAGGCAGGGGGCGGAGGTGGTACCAACCGACGGTAAAACAGGAGCTTCGCAGAGGTGGGTCGAAGTGTAGTAGAGCTGGGTGAATCGGGTAAACAGCGGTGGTGTCGCAGTGAGGTATCTGTTCAGCACCCACGCCGGACTTCGCATTCCTTGCTTGCCATTACCTTTTCCGGTTGGTGCCATCGTCGCCGCTGCGGGATTGGAAAAAAGTGGGACGGAAGAGTGGAGAGCTCGGATGAGAGAGAGAGAGACTCTCACAGGGAGAGGGATAGAGAGAGAGAGAGAGAGAGAGAGAGAGGGCGTTGGGTTCAGGACGTTGAGCTGATTTGGAGCGAAGCGAGGAAAGGCCGGGGAGAGGAAATGAGGAGGCTTTACGAGTGTGATGATGGTGGGGGGAGGGAAGGGAAATGTTGACTGGTGACTACTGGGAGATGTTGGTCTTCGTGGAGGTGGTGCGTGGAATGGGGGGCCGGATGATGTGATTCGGTTCGTTACATATCTAGGAAGGAGGATTTGGTGGCGTTGTCTTCTGTCTGCTGTGTGTGTGTGTCGGGGCGACGACGCCCAGGACAGGGAGGGACGGAGGGTGGTCCAGATGGAGGGCAAACCAGGCCGATTTCCCGTATCGCGCGTATTTTGGGATCAAGTTTGTTTTTGGGCGGGTTGGGAGGGAAGGCCGTGGGATCGGCGGCGTGATTCGGGGCGCTTGGTACAGGAGAGCGGCTAGATTGTGGAGCGGGCGGCGAGCAGGAGTTCAGGGGAGTGTTGAATTGGGGCGCCAGGGCGCGAAGAGCCACGAGAGCTCGACATGCTGCTGCTGCTGCTGCTGTTGCAAGTGCGGGGTGATTGCGTTGTGAGGAGGTGCTTCCACGGTGGTAAGGCCGGGGAGGGAGGGGGTTCGTGGAGGTGCAGTGGGGTTGCAGGGGTTTGAAGATTTTGGGCACCGTTTTTCGGAGGCGGAGGAGATTTGGAGTGGGTGGGGTGGACTCGGGAGGTCGGGCACGTGGAATATGGGTGGGTGGTCAGAGCGCGGTCTGACGGATTTCAGAGACGGAGCTTAGAAGGGCGAGGTGGTTGCGTGCATGAGGGCTCGCTCGGGGAGACGTCGAGGGCGAGTTGTTGGGGCAAGTCCAGTAATGTTGGTGGAACGGGCATGAAGGATGGCAACGTTGGGCGCACCGTTTGCTGCTCGGCACGGTAGGGGGTATGCGTATCTGCGGAGGAGAGATCCGGTGCGGAGGTGTGGGTGAGAAGGGGCGTGGCTGAGGTACGAAATCTGGTGTGGTGCAGAGAGCATTTGGAGATCGGAGGAGAGCGGGAAGGAGAGAGAAAAGGAGAGAGATAGGCGAGAGAGAGCGAGAGGGTATGGGGCGGGAGAAATTGGGTGAGGTGTGGAGGTGCCGGGTGGGGTATTGGGTGGTAGTGGGCGTGTGGTGGCAAGCGATGATGTGGCAGAAGCGGAGCAATTTGACGGGCTCCAACAGTAGCACAGTCCGATTGGTATAGGGATGATGAGTAGGGTGGATTGAAGGCGGGGTACATTTTAGGTAGATGCTATTGTGAGGGCGAGAGTCGGAGGTGATTTAAGTGAAATTTAGCAGCAGCAATATATTCAACAGCGTTTATGGTATAATGTAGGTCGTATGGAGATAGTGTATTATTAACTTGGCTCGGAAGTTGTGTTTTACTTTTGTACTTCTGCAATTCTCTGCTCATTTTTTGCTACGGGGAATTAGTGTCTCGGAATAGTGCTTAAGCAGGGGCAGTACTGATAAAACTAATTTTGGACGATGGATTGGGTGGAGGCATTGGGTGAAGGCATTTGATTGAAGCTGGATTTTGTAATGGTGATTGTTGCAGTAAACTTGGAGATATGGGGCTGCTGACGCGACGAGACCCTATTAGAAGCTTGTGACGGCGGTTGTTTGGTTAGATCTTTACAATTACTCTTATGTTTAGGATTTACAGGGTTTGGTGAGGAGGTTAGTGGCTGTGTACTCAGTCGACCATCGCGCTTTTGAGCGTGCTGGTTTCAGCGTTGATTTTGCGAAGCGAGGTTTAGGGTAGAAGGTGTTGCTTGATGCATGCGTTTGAGATAGCTAGGGCTTTAGGCATGACGATGAAGGAGGATGACCATGTGGTGGACTGGAATCATAGCCTGCCTACAGGTGAAGAGGTGACGCCTTTGTCCAAGTCTCTGATATCTCCTGTTCTGGCATCTGCCTTCAGTATAATGCCCGACTTGGCTAAGACCGCCGCCCACGTCAGTCGAGAGACCCGGCCCAGTTTGCTTGACCTGCGAGTTCAAAGTTCTATTTCGATGTCTTTTGATCCGTTCTCACCGTTCAAACAGCGCAATGATGCAGGTAATGCACGATCCGTGCCTGGATGAAATGCGAGTCTGCTGGTTGGCTGTATCAGAAAAATTTGCAGCTTTGAATTGTGTGCATACCAGCTGCAGTCGAATATCGATGTTCAACTTTTGGAAGCGTGTGCTGGCAAATTATATTAACACGGTGTAGGCGGTGGTTTATTGTTGATAATAAGAGGAATAACCACTTTGGTGTTATTGTGCGGGAAACAGAATCTGACAACAGTCTATTGCTGAGAGAGTGCCTGCTTATACGTCATCAGCAGTTCGCGTTTTACAGCAGTGGGCGCTGATATGCGTGACTTATGATTGCAGGGGTGTATGGGTGTCTAGCTGAGGCTGGAGATGACAGAGATGGTAGAGGTGTCGGTCAATTTGATAAGAGAGGCAAGAGCATTACCGCAGACTTCACTGCCGAAGGGCGTGGCGACGCGAGAGGAGACGGGAGAGGGACCGCAGAACCCGAGGTTGAAGTAGGACTAGGACTAGGACTAGGAAGCGGTGGCAGCTGCAGTAACAGAGAGTGCGATCGAGTGACGGTTGCTGAGAGGCAGAGGTCAGGTTCACATGGCGGAGGAAGTTTCTCGCAAGGGCACCCGATGTCGGGAGTTTTCAGAGGTGGGAGCGATGGGGCGACTTACAACCCGAGTGAGGGGAGGTCGGAGCAGAGTTCGGGGCTTCCATTCATGAAGAACGGGTTGCAAGGGTATGGGTCGGGGTATGAAAGGAGACCGGAGAGCTCGTCGTACGGGGGAAGGGGGGACGATAGCAGCAAAGGCGGGGGATCTGCGAAGAATGCAAGGAAGCTGGCGGATTCGGACTTCGAGGACACGGACTCGGGAGGGGGTCCGGTGAACAGCAACGAGGAGGCGAACGCACGGACGTTGAAGAGGCCTCGGCTGGTGTGGACTCCGCAGTTGCACAAGCGGTTCGTGGATGCGGTGGGTCACTTGGGGATCAAGAACGCAGTGCCGAAGACGATCATGCAGCTGATGAACGTGGAAGGGTTGACGCGGGAGAACGTGGCGTCGCACTTGCAGAAGTATCGGCTGTATCTGAAGAGGATGCAGGGGCTGCCGTCGGACGGGCCAATGGCGAACGATCAGCTGTTCGCGTCGACTTCGCTGCCTTCGAACTTGGGGATGCAATACATGACGAACCAGAGGGAGGAAGTGGGTCCGGCGTCGTATCCAGCGGTGGGGGTGGCGATGCCATTCCCAGGCGGGGGGGTAGGGCCTCTGGGGACGGCACAGTTTGGTGGGTACGAGCAGATGTCATACGATGGAGTGAACAGGAGGTTTGTGCAACGGCCGGCGACGAAGGACCGAACGGAGCACATATCGGAGAGCGAGAACGGGAACCACGCGAGCCCGCAGAGCCAGAACGCTCACAGCTACGTGGAGAACCGAGCGGGTTCACCTCCGAGGCGGCTGCTGTCGCTGTTTCCGACGAGCTCGGGGTGAGGCAGTGGCGGCGCGAGAGGAGAGAGAGGATGGAGAAAGGAGATTTTTGTCGATGGTGGGGTGTTGTCGATCATCTCCCAAGGTACGGAAGAAGCGGCAAGCTTGTTCGTACGTGTGGAGGCTCCGTTGGAAGAGCAAAGCGAGGGAAAAGGTCGCGTGGGATGGTGCGAATGATGCGAACCTGGTTGCCCAAACGATGTCGAGAGAGAGAGCGAAGCATTGGGGCATGGGGATGAAGGAGAGGTGTGAAGGTTCACGCTGCATGCTGGAGGCAGCGCAGGTGGGGTGTGGAAGAGAGAGCGAGCGGCTGCAGGATTGGACAAGCTTTGGATCCAACAGTGATCTTGTATAGGTGTGCTGGATGACTAGGAGTTAGTCGGTTTTGTATTAGATAGTGCAGTGGGAGCATACTTATGTTGCTGGGAGCTACCTCTACATCTACTGGCTCCTTGTGGATCGCGATTTTAGAATGCCTAGAACGACTAAGAGCTGGTCATGCTGTGTAGGGTCATTTGTCAGAATGAATATTACTTATTTGACCTCGTCAATTCTGTGATGGCAGAATGGTTAGGAGGAGGTAGTATCCACTTCCAGTTGTTGAACTGGATTGGTTTTTAGAACCCTATGATGCAGTGTTGTTGCATTTGCTCTGTGGAAGGGAGCAAGCTTGATGCTCTCGGACGTTAAAACCTCTGTACAATGATCGATGTCAATATTACCAATGAAGCATTTGCTTCTGGTGATGACGATTAAGTCAAGATCATGTCGTGGATGTTGCTCCGCAGGTGTTGTGTACCAGGAATGTGCGATGTGGAAGTTTCTCTTACTTGTATTCATATCTTAATTTATTTATTTATTTATGTTTATTTGATTATATCCAGGCCTAGGTGTGTTAGGGATCGCAGTTATTCATGCATAGTTGGGTATTTTTGCTGTGGAATGGTATCTTATTTCTTTTAGCATGTTCAGCACTGGATATAATATAGGTGGAGGATACGTTGTGTTCTATTTTTCTTGTGCAGGCGGTCTTGTTCCCAGAGTACAGTCCTTGTTGGAATGTTGGAATGTTTCCAGATTTGGTATATTGTGCGTGTTGAATCTGTTTGCAAAGTTTTCGGAGGAACCTTAGTCGACGGTGATATCTTCTGTTCCTTGTGTGATGATTGACCCTGGCAGCCATTCTTGTGGCCTCTGCCATAATGTAAGTATGTGTTCTCATGGTACGATTGCACTGTTTTGGTGAACTAGGTTTTCAACTGTTGATGGGGCTCTTTATTGTCAACGTTTGCAACTTAAACTTACAAGCAATCTTTGAGTGGTACGTAACTGTGCAGACCCCACTGGCATGATAGACTTCTTCGATAGTTAACCAGGGCTACGTGCAGTGCAAGATCTGGACAACCATCTCCACAGGAAGATAACTGAGTTTGATCCTTTGGAAGGACACAGTTGCACTTTGATGGTGATGACTTTGACCCCACAATTGGCCAGGCTGGAAGCTTTCAACACGGTGTACGGTTGAGATCGATAGTTGGAATTGCCATGCCAGCAACCACACCAGAGTCCAGTACCTTGCAGACAAATTACGAATATACTTGTCCAACGCTTCCTTTGCGTATTGTATGATCGTGTATCTTCTAGTCACAACAGCAGTACTTTCTCTTGGCCCTGGTGTGACGACAGAACTTTTTGTCCATGTGGGTTGATTATGGTTTATAGAATCTTGAGATAGAAGATGGGTAGTTTGGGAAGGTGGTAGCATTCCTTTCTTAACTTCTTGGCTAAGATCGAGCGTAGTGTCTGGTTTTATTAGTTAAATATGTGATGGAATGCTCATCAAGTTTCATTTATTATTTTTTCATTTTTCATTTTTTTCATTTGCGAGTGGAGATCGATTCGGCAGCTTGCCGCTGGGTTTCACGAACATCGTATTGATATTTCATTACATCCGTGGTGCGGCCCTCTCTTAAGATGTAAATACATTTCAAACTCTGCGTCATATTTCCTTATCATAGACTTAAGGAGTCTGCAGTAATTCTGTTCTCCACAAATCTTGGCAAGTGGTCTATCCAATATGAAGTAATGCTCGAATCGCAGTAGATTCTATGTGAGCTCAATGTCTGTACATCTTGTTGATTTTTTCAGCTGAGTGCATGTGAGCAAAGCTGGCATATGATAGACTGGATTTTGCACAATTGCAACTAAATCTGACTTGTGCAATGTATGAAGGCAGCTGCATTGCACATGGAGTTCGCAGCTACGTCTGAAGAATTCGTGACCTGCTTTATTGGAGCATGATAGGCTTCTGGGTTTTCTATTGCAAGTAAGCCAATTTTTGAATGATTGATCCACTTAAAGAGTTCAAGAGCAGCGCTTTTATACCTGCCTCGGGTGCCAGTCAGAGGGTTATGCACACTATACCTGGTGAAAGCAGCGGCAAACGTTTTTTGACGTACGCATCCACGTATGGTTTCGTTCATAAATCCCGGGCAATATCATAGTTGTGCAGCAACCCTTGACATGCCATTATGCTGGCGTAATAATGGTTGTTGAAAACTATAGCAAGTTGCTTGTCCATGCGGAAATATGTGAACTGCACCAGCTCAGCCCCTATTTTCAGCTGAGAACGTGGTACTTGACCAAGGAACACATAATAATTTCCACAAAGGATACACAATCCGCGCTCTTCGGATTGTATTAACTCCTGTGGAAGAACGTTCTTTGATTATTGAGTGCCAATGGTGCAACAGCTGCGTTACCAGCTTCAAAATTATCAAAAGTCTTGATGAGACTGCACCATACGGCGCCTCAGAATGACACTAATAGTACCACATCCCCAAGTGCTCAGCGGTCTTTTCCGTGTTGAAACTTTCCTTGCGGAAATAGTTAAGACGAAGATGTCACTCTGAGGAGTGGGGGTATTCGGGAGACACCAGTTTCATGCTGACGAAGGAGAATGCCCTTCCAGCTGCATAACCAAAGATAAAGTGAAACAAAATGAACTAAGGATTTGCGAACATCTTTTACCACGTCAAAGCCGGATTCAGTGAGGAGAGCCATGTCTTACCACTTGAGCTCCCGCAGATCCTCCAAGAGCGAGGACACCTAAAAAGGAGACCACCCCTGGACACTCACCCCCACAACCATTTTGATGATGTTGATCCACTTGCCGTATCACATTCTGACTTGTGGGTGATATTCCTTCCCTGCGGACATGTGCCAGGTGGATTCGAGCAGGACACATACATTGCAGGCTTACAAAAGCTAAAACACACCAGATTTTGGCAGATAGGATGTGGCAGAATGGTTGGATGCTTGCAGATTCTATTGAGCGAAACTTGACTTGAGAAGGAATGAACTTTACACTGGAGCGATCTTTAAAGGCTTAGCGAATCAGGGAGGTCGCAATCTTTCCCTATTCGTCAAGCTTATTCAAGGTGCAGTAGATGATTTTTCTTAGCATAGGGGAACGGTTTGGTGCAGTTGCTGTACAGAAAACCTGCGGATGGCGGTGTGAACTGCAGCCCTGACGTACAGAAGCCTATCTGGAAGGGAAAGCTGTCGATTTACAACTTTAAAATCTTCGTCTAAAGCTTCAGTGATGCTCACAAAAGCAAATTGTATAACACTAAATTCCTGTCATGCTTCTTAATATGGACCTGGTGAGATGCCTTCACGTCAGAAGCTCATCAGGCATTTCCCTACACCATTCTGCTGTCATTGCAATCGCAAAAGAAAACTTTGCTAACGGAATCAAATGTCGATGCTCCCAGCAGACTGAACACTCGTTTCCTGCCCAGTAGCAATGAAGTTCAATGTCTCATTGTAGACCGATACTTCCCTTCAACTCCATACTAATTGAACTAGCAGCCGACCTATGATACAATGAAACATGCATACCAAAGCCAGAGTTTTTTTAGTACTTGATCATCATTAGAATCATAACTTCTGAGAGAGAGAGAGAGAGAGAGAGAGAGAGGAGGCGAGTTCTCATACCAAATTTGCATACTCGGGCTTTATCTGAAGTGCGCAGCCCACACTGTACACAGCAGGATAAAGAAATCAAAAGGTGCCTAGAGTGGGTCCGTTATATCCATCGTGATGAAGACTCTTAAAGGCGAATTCTACGTGGAAAAAACCCCACTCACTACAGGGAAACACAAGCGTTGAATGTGGTACACTTGCCAAAGCTCACATCTCCACCGACAATATTCTCATGCCATGCAGGGCATGCTTACATTGACATCGCAAGTACGGCCTCCTTCTTTGGCAATTGGAGACCTGGCACTCCTGTGAACTCTGACTTCAGGACAGGAATCTTCAAGTAATGCAACGAACTTTGCGAAAGATGCAGAAACTGTGATCACTCTCACTTTAGATTATAACCACAGCAATCCTTCTAGTTCTCATGTGGGTGCTGACAGGATGTAAAAGCTGCTTCATCGTTGTGTCAAGGGTAGGAACAAGAGCTTGCACAGATGTACACAACAGTAACATTAAAAATGGCAATGAAAGTGGGTGTTGAGTGCCGGTTGAGCAAGACTGTGGATCAGTTACTGGTCGTGAAGTGGAGTACAAGATCGCTGAATCAAAAGAAGCATTTGCCTGCTCCCCAGCAACACAGCATAATATTTTTGAAGGCCACTGTACAGAAATGCACAGTAATGAACTCTATTTTTAATACATACATGAGTACAACGTCCTTGGATGTCACGTACTTGATCCCCCTTGTAGAGAGTGTGTTCATACAAACATTGTATTCAAAAAGGGAACGTGCGGAATGCTTATTTTCTGCTCTACAGAAATTTCCAAAAAATGGGAAAGTAAGGATAATTGTGATTTCATTGTGCCGCAAGAAACATGACATGCTGTTGGAATTGTGATGGTGGCATTTGCCCGTCTATGTGTAGTGAGTTGATATGCGTTTTCCTTATTGAAAATAAATAAACTGCAAACGCAATACATTTTGAGAAAATAAAGGAGGGAAAATCTTAAAATAAAATCCATCAAAAAACTGATTTTTTTTCTTCTTTGAAGCAAGTTAATTGGAAAAACATTCTTTTGAATTTCTTTTGATAATTATAGTTGTATCACATTACATTCTCTTTATATAATGGATGTGTGTTTGTTAATATATATATATATATATATATATATTCACACAAATACTTCTATAATCTCTCTCAATTCTACTTCCAACATGAAGTTTGGTTTACTTCAGTGGAAAAAAAAAGTTTGTATTTATTTTTAACATTCATAATATTTTAAATTTAAAATATAGAAATGTAAACATCAAATAAGCATCATTCTTAATATATATATATATATATATATAATATGGCTTTTAAATTTATAATATATACATTCATGAGTTTTATTTGATGGTTTGATACCTCTTCAAAGTTTCCATTTAAATATATATATATATATATATATATATATAAAGTATTATATATTAGAATTTTTATTGTAATTATAATTGTATCTTTTAAAATTTTGGCCTTTCAAGTCTATATCAATTCAAGACCACTTTGTCAAAGATGACATTAAATATTTGAAGCTTAAGATTATTTCTTTCTAATTTTCAAAGTATTATACAAAGATTTTAGTATTGTTCTCTTATAGTAAACTTGACATTTTATCATTTTTTTGGTTGATATTAAATCTTTTGGTTTTTATATTATATCATATCATCATAAATATTTAGTTTTTTGGATACCATCTTGTCTATACTTAAATTCTTTAATTTTTAAAAGATAAAAACAAATTATAGAATTGATAGAAACTTTTGATTTCAAAGACTTTTGATTAGAAAACTTTTACTTTTAATTACAATCCATGATTATTTAGTTTTAGTTTTGGTTTTTATATTATTTTTAATTGTAAAAGTTATTTTGAAAGTTGAAATTAATTTTGGATTTCATTATTAATTTTGTAGTGGAAACATGACATAGCTACAGTTAATGGATGAATCAATATGTATGTAAATTGAACACAATGTAATAGATAGCTCATATCATGATATTTTTAAAATAAATCTTTGAATTTTTTAGTACTTTGAGTAATTATTTATGATTTATTATTATTATTATTATTATTATTTTGTGTAAGACAGGTTTGTGTGAAAAAAATCACAAATGTATAAATTTTGAAATATAAAATAAAATTCTTAAATATTTTGTAATTATAAAAAATCTCAAATATAATCTTTCATATATATTGGCAAATTGGAATGGTTTTCTATATATTGGCAAATTGGTATAGAAACTTCTAAAATTCTCTAAAATTTATACAATATTTTAAAGGTTTTTGCAGACTTCTAAAACCTTCAAAAGAAGTTTCTATAAGACATATACTTGATAGATACATAAAAGAGTAATTTGAATAGGAAGAAAATCATCCCAAAACTGTTTGTGGAGTAATCTTAAGTATTCTTTTAGCTTTAGTCTTTATTAAAACCTTTGATTTAACCTGTTTCTTTATATAGATTTATTGTATCAAATTCTAATGTCTTTAATATCTTTTTCATTTGTTTATACAACAATCTCAATTTTTAAGAGTGCTCAACAACTTATTTTGTAACTTATTGTATTTTATTTTATTTATATTTTCTTGAATTTAACTTACATTTTCTTAAAACTTTACATAACCTACATTTTTCATATGTAATGTTTTTTTTTAAAAATAAGTCTCTTTATATTATTCTAAAATATTCCTAATTCTATAAAATATCTAATACAATTTGGTCTTTTAAGGTTTCTTTTGGTAAATTTTTTTTAATTTTATGCTTTTAAAAAAATAGAGTTATAAATTATAAAATATTTCTAATATGAATAAAGAAATAAAAAAATAAAAATAATTATGATAATTACTCTTACAAAGTAAAGAACTAAACAAAAATATTCTATTGATTATTGCACCATATCTAATAATATAATTATTAGTTTAGAATAAAGTTGGAATGAACTAAATCAAAGCTTGAGGATTCTATCTTCTTTAAATTGGCCATCTATTCAAAGTACTAATGAAGTTAATGTTGGGTCATAAATTGCTACATAGACTAGACATCAAATTAATTTTGCAACCACAATTATCTTATTAAATTTCTATATTATCTTTATAAAAAAATAAAGAAAAAAACTAATAAAAGTACAAATGTTTGCTTAGAAAATACTTTCTACATATTATTTGCCAATTACACATTATTATATAAAATATAATGATAAAAAAATAAATTCACAGATTGCTTGCATCTTAATAAAATAAAAAATGTTAGTACTCATATATATATATATAACTCGTTGTAAAATAAAAACTATGATTTAATAGGGAGGTTTAAACATAGCACTTTTGCAAAATCAAATAACTAAGATTCAGTATTTGATATTTCCAAGATCACTTGAAATATCAAATCTAAAATATCACTATTCAAACTTTATTACTCCTTAATATTACTCCTTGATTCAAACTTTATTATCTCCTTGGTATGAAGTCAAAGAGGGAAGAGAGCTGAGGCAAGCAACACAGTTTTTGATATTTGACCCACCTCTCTTTTGATATTTTGATTTCAAAATCACCCATCTTGTGACATGGATGATTTGGTAAAGTATCAAGTGATATTTCAAAATAGTATGGGATACTTCAAGCTTGCATCATAGGTGAAATATCACCCAAAAAGGCCATATTCAAAGCCCCCTAATGTTATAAGTATAAAAAATTATGAAAATCAACTTTATTGTGCTTGCAATTTAAGCTACCATAACTTTTACCAAGACGTTTGAGCCTGAAAATTCCTATAAGTTGAATTAATGAGCTATTTTTTACATCCACCAATAATAATTGGAATAATAATTAGATTAGACATCAAATTAAATTTGCAACCACAATTGACTTATTATTTCTTTGGATTTATGTTATTAAAAAAAATTATGAACAAAAGCTAGTGAAGTACAAAAATCTGACTAGAAAATATTTGACATATAAATGGTCAATTACACATTGCTAATAAAAAACCAAAAAATTAAAATTAAAAATGAATTCATAAATGTCTTGAAGTCTAATCAAACAAGAAAAGCTAAGATATATTTTTTTAATTCAAATAACTCTGTGTAGAATAAATATTAAAGTTTAATGTTACAATTACGAAATTCAACTTAATTGCATTGGCAGTTCAGGCCACTCCGCTAAAACTTTTATCAAGAGGATTGAGCTTGAAGATTCCTATCACATGAATTTCAATCTAGACCACCGAAATATGGTATCTGCTGATATCCATGGCATGATGAGTTGGTGTCAGCAAATTCCAGTGCATAGACCAGTTGGCCAAATATGAGGGATTCCCAGCATACCTTGGTTGAAAATATAGAGGATGAATCTGTGTGGGAGGGAAAGAGTAAGACATGCTTGCAAAAAACTCTTCTGACAACGAAGTCAGAGTCCACTAACTCTACAATGACAGACATGAGCCATTCGTACTTTTCTTTTCCTGACATAGTCATCCTATACTGTGATCTATGCTCCCTCAAGTTCACACGTTTGAATTGGACGAATACATGTCTTAAAGGTAGAAACATACAGCCAAAATCAGCACTGCCATAACCTAACAAATTTGTAGGCATGCACATATTGAGAATGGAAAAGTGAGGCACAGGTATGTCCAAGCATGCTACTTAAGATAGCATATATTCCTTCAGCACTTCGATCATATATCTAGACTCGAAGTCATGCATACTGAGTGTTGAATTTTCTAGTCAGCCGTGTCAAGTCATTATGACAAGTGCAACTGTATGCATCAGTCAAGTCATTATGACAAGTGCAACTGTATGCATCAGTCAAGTCATTGATGACATGCACATTGGAAAAAAAAATGAATGGTTGACAGAAATTTCGATTATTTTCTGATCGGCATACCTTGAAGCTCACGGAAAATAGTTTAATTGGGTCTATTTTATGTTGAAAACTGCATTTGTTATCACCAGCTAGACTTGTGAAGGCGAGCTTTTACAAAGTAATTGCGACAAGTAATTTGCTGCACACATTCTACGTTTTACGTCAGCTATAACTATTGAGCCTCCACATTTCTCACATGGAACTACACTCCTTACTTTTTCGCGGCAGTTATCCACGTGCCAACAGCAGCAGCAACAGGACGTATGTCAATTTTGGTGACAAGCCCATTCGATACGTAAGGATCTCTATCTACAAATTTCTGTACCTCTGCGCAAAGAGGATCACATTTGGTGATGATCGTTACGTGACATCTTGCAAAACGTGAAAATAAGATGAAGATACATGTGCTCCTTCTTGTTTTTGACACAGACCACTAGTATTCACACCATTCATAGTGAACGGGTTCATCTCATTATCCCAGGATTGTTTTCAGAATTTTACCTAACAAAGTAGTCAAATGTATGGAAAGGAATCCAGCAGGAGAACACATACCATCAGCAGAGTTGACAAGAAAGATAAAAAGTGCACCATCCACTGGATCACCCCACGCTCCTCCAAGACACATCTTACCCTCCGCTTCTTCCTCTCGAGCGACGGCTATATGTCCTGGCCTATGAGGACCCCGCTTCTCGAGTATGTCAGGTACATAATCTGCTCATAAACCACCTAGCAAGTTACTGAACAGCATAAGAAGGTATCTTACAAACCAAGTGATCATTTCACGACAATACACCCACAAAAAAACAGATGCATATAAGCATTCTCGATGTGAGTGAAAACTGTAGCTCTTGCCATTAGTTTTGGACCGACATGTCTAAAGAAGTTTCCATACGTGATCAGAAGAACGGCGGTGGCACTTCAAGTTCACAAGTTTTTTTCTATACTACGGTACCCAACTGTCACCTTTAACACAGATAAAACATCATCAAGTACTGGCGCTTGCATTATGACTACGCCAGCAGAATTTCAGACTAGTAGAAAATTCAGCTTCAGGCATAGTTCAATGCTTACAAAACTTGAAAGATAAATAAGAACAGAACGTGAGTAGGTGTTAGTACTTGGATTGCTAATGTACATTCTGGAGAGCCTACCATAAATCAGGGCAAAATACTGCCGGTTGTCGGTCTGGGTCTCTAGCGAGGCTGATGTCATACTCCTGCTTTTGATTTTTGGGGATTTATGTAGGATAAATCCACGTGCACCAAGAGTTCCCTCACGCAAGCTGTTTCTAGATTTCAAAAATGAAGAAGGAAGACCTGCGGAGAAGATACACGTCGTGCGAGCACTCAGAAGAAACCTGAAACGTAACCCAGTACATTATCAGATGAGGAAGTGATGTAAGCGCAAGTAGTGTTGCAGAAAATGCTCCACATCGTACTCAAAATCAGTAACGATGAAGTCGCGAATTACTTGTCCACTAAAGAACCTAAATAATTCCACATGTACCGAATCAGGTAAAAAAAAAAAAAAAAAAAAAAAAAAAAAAAAACTTCAGAATGGAATCACATTCAACAACGTACACTCTAAACGACATACGAGAAATCCAAAATAGTCCACCCCAAAGACAAGAGAAACCAAGCGCAACGTTCCAGATCAAGTGAGCAATGTAACAACACGAAACAAAAGAAAGTACATAAACCAAAAATAAACGAATGGAGGCACTAAGTAAGAGTCACAATCGCACTCAGATATGACCAGCGGCAGCATTCCCTCATCTCACCACATCGAATGTCATACCAACAATCCAGAAACCAGATCCCCTAACCACAAACGCTTGACAACCTTCGGAATGGAACAGTTTCAATGAACTACATTGTACCCACTACGCACAATTCGCCTTTCACCACCAACACCTGTGCAAGTTCGCGAGAAACGAAGCCCCCCAAACCCAAAAATGTTCAGTGGTTATCAAACACCGAAGTGATAAACCTGGAGTCAATATGAGCAGTGGAAGAAGCAGACACTAGAGACGGTCCCGCAGACGACACGGTGAGCTTGGAAAGCGAGGCTATGGATGCCATAGTTCTAGAAATTAGCAAGCATCCACGCATTGCAAATCTTGTGTTTCTAAGTAAGTGAAGCTGAGGAGGAGGAGAAGAGGGTCCAGCAAAGCTCTATTCAGCGGATGGGAAGGTTTAGGGCTTTGGTATTCTGTCTCTCTCTCATTCATCCTTATCTCATTCATCCATACTTCCACGTTTTCATCCATTCTAGCAGAGCTTCAGTCCAAACAATGCTGATTCTTGTATCACTACTCCAAGCATGCCTACAATGTTGAAAGTTAGATGGAAGAATTGATCGTGTGTGTATATATATATATATATATATATATACATATGTATATATTTGGTATTACTTTGTCATAGTTGTTATTGTTGTTTTTAATTCATGCTTTATTCGAGATGATGTATTTAAACATCACTTTGAAGATGTGGCAATTATACTTGATACAAATGCCTTGAAACAAAATCTGACTATTTTTTTTTATAAATTGGGTAACTATATTCATAATAATATAAATAATTCAAAAAAGTATTTATTTTTAATATGTAATAATATTTGTATATATACATACACATATAGAAATTGTTAAATTTATCCAAGTATTTCCTAAATTTACCCATCCATCTTAACTATCATCCAAAAATTCTCTACTATAAGATCTCCATTGGTCAAAAACCAATAAAAAAAAAGAAAAAAAAGAAGAAGAAGAAGGTTGGATCCTCAAACAATAATGATGGGTGAGTCAATTTAGTAAATGCTTTGATCAATTTAGCAATTCTCTCTCTCTCTCTCTCTCTATATATATATATATATATATATATATATAGATATATAATCATTATATTTTATACTTTAAGATACTTGATGTAAAATAGATTATATGTTAATTTTAACTTTAATTTTTAAGATTTTAAAGTCATATTTAACTTTATCAATATACATATTTTTTACTTATATTATTAATTTGATTTTTTATTTTTATTTTTTAAAATATATTATTATAAGAACAAATATTTTAAATTAAATTTTTATTTTAATTTAAAATTTTATGCTTACTTTTATTCATAAAAATATTTAATATCACAAATTGGTATTATAAATTTTCAATTTCATATTCTTTTATTGAAACTTATTTAACATGAGGGTCTTAGTACAAGAGAGTGTAGATAAAATAAGTGAGAAGGTGGTTGAGATTGCTGAAGTAAATTAGCTAAATAACACTAAAATAAACAAGAAATGTATCTCATAGTAAATAGATGAAAGATTTTTTTCAAAAATATAAGTTTAGATTCTAATTCTTTCAATGTAAAATTGTATCCTATTAATTATGCATTTGCCATTCTTTAACCTCTTTTAAAATTATAAATTAATCCAAAAAATTATATAAAATAATTAATATATATAATAAATAAACCAAAAATTTACATAATTATATAATTTTCAAAAGAAAAACTAATAGTAAATGTATAGTTTATTGATGTAATATTGAATTTGAGATATTAAAAATGATATTAGATATTATTATATATTAATATTTACTTTGTTGATATAATATTAAAATAAGATTCAATACTATTTATAAGATTTAAAAGTTCTATATTGATAAATATATTTCTTTATAATTTACAATATATGTCTATAAAATATATATATATTTTGCTCAAATGTACAAAAAATCATATATATTTAATATAATATATATAATAAATTAAAAACCAAAAAAATATTTTAAAATAGATATAAATATATTTAATTAAAATGATAATTAATAAAATATTTAGACAATATTTTATAGTACATATTAGCATATATATATATATATATATATATATATATATATATTTATAATAATAATTTATAATAATAAATAGTATAATAAAAAAATTAAATTTAAAAACATAAGATATTTTCAAGAAGGTTTGTACCTATATTGTAGAAAATCTAAACACATTGTTCAATATTATCTAAAGAAACAACATAATCACAAAGTAAAAAGCATGGTTGCCAAAGAAGACAGTATATTGAAAAATAAATTTCTCCGGCTACATAAGAAACTATGCAATTAAAATCTTATGCAACATCTAATAAAAGTCCTATTCTTTCTTTAGATCTCTCATATTATTTTATAATAGAAATTTATTTGGGACCAAAAAATCACAAATCTTTGCTTTATTAGATTTAATAGCTTCAATTTGTTTTAAAAATAAAGATTTTGTCAAAAAAATAAGAAATATCTTTAATCAAGGAAATCAAATCCATGTATATAGAAGTCATAGATAGTCATTTATTGTCCTATGGAGATATTATCTATGAAATAATTCTTTTAGATGTAGCAACTAAGAATCATAATAATTTAGTAATAGTTAATACCATTAAATCTCCTCCTAATCCAATTATTTTAGGATTCTTATAGTTAAAGAAATACAATCCTTAAATAAATTGGATTTTTCATAACTTTGATTTTTCTTATAATTTAATCTAAGTTTTTACTAATCAAGTAGAAATCCATAAATCTAATAGAAAAAAAAATCTTTATTGATAGGTGCAAAAACTTTCATATATACTACAAAAGAAGAATTAGCTTTTATGTGAGCATTTTTATGCGTACAGCTTGATATGAATAAAAAAAGAGATAAATAGAAAATTATGTTTTGAATTAGGTATGGGCATTTCAATGGCTAAGAGGATCTATCAACTAACTTTACAGGGAACAAATATCAAAGTATGTAGCAAACATAATTTGCTACTATTGTGATGTAACATGGCTAATAAATAAAAGAGAGAAGAAAACATTGTATTATAGAAGATCTTATTTTAAAAAATTATAGAAAATAATCTTAAAAATATAGATAATAGTCAAAAAGATAATAAAATAAAAAGTGCTAACATTGCTTTTTTGTAAAATAGTCTTCTACTTACTTTGTACGGCCATAAATAAGGCAAATCAAAGTAAATTAAAAAATTAAATAATATAGGCATGTATAAGAGCAAGTTGAAAATATATTTTAGTAAAATTTATTTAAAGAAGTTGAGAATTGATATCCAAAGAGGACCAATTGTCAACTTGAGTCAAAATTAGACCCCAAGGCACAAAACCACATATTTATGGTGTTTCCATAGTTCTTTGATAAATGAAAGAGTGGAATTGGAGAAAAAACTTTTGAATTTTTTTTAAGCATTGGTTTTATGCCATATGAATAAATATTGAGATTTTGAGAGATTTCCAAAGTTAGTAATATTCTTAGTGGAATTAGGATTTAAAAAATAAAAATATGTTTACAAATTTGAAGATTTCTTGAGTTTTGTAGTGTATATATAAGTGAAATTTGGGTAATTTATTGGTGTGCTAGTTATTAATGTGTATAAATTTTTTAAGATCAATCAAATATTCAGATTGAAATATATAAAGGTTTTTGTGGATTGAAGTCTCAAAAATTGGAATTTGAAGGTCAGTAAGTGTTTCTAAGATCTTTAGCAATTTGTCGATTAGATTGAAGTGAGTTTTTTTAATACGGATCCTAGATTCAATTTTCAATGTTTAGGTGAAATTTGTGAGAAATTCACTTGTTTAAGAAGGTCGTGTTAGTGCTAGAATTTCAACATTTAGGTTGGAATAGGAGACCACCTGATACCTGATTGGATTATCTTATGTTTCTCTCAATTGGTAAGTGCAATTGATTTCATCTTTCTTATGCTTGTTTCTAATTAAGATATTAAGAATTGTGCAAATTTTGAATTGATATTAACACTTTGATCATTAGTTATTGAGGTTCTAATTTGCTATAAGGTTTGGTTTAGGACTTATCTACATTTTGATTAGGACTCAGGATTTGGTTTAGGATTTGGTTAGGATTAGGATTTTCTTGGGATTTGGTTTAGAACTCGATTAAAAATTGATTAAGATTTGTTTAGAGTTTATCTAGGATTTAGGATTTTATTAGGATTTTATTAGGATTTGACATAGGTTATGCTTAAGGTTAAATTAGGATTTCAATTAAGATTACATTACTATTTTTATTTTTAATATTTCTTTAGTATTATTTTTTTAAAGATTTTTATTTCTAGTATTTCTTTAGAATCATTTTTTGAAATATTTTTATTTCTAGTATTTCTTTAGAATCATTTTTTGAAATATTTTTATTTCAATATTTCTTGAACATTATTATTATTTTTTTATTATTTATTTTTTTATTTTTATTTTTATTTTTTTAAAGATTTCTTGTTATTTTTTTTTGGAATTAGTTTGGAATATTTTTGTGTTTCTTTTATAACTTCTTTAAAATTTATTTTGGATTGGTCAAAGTTCAATCAAGATTATTAACGTCTACTTAAGATTATTTAAGATTCTATTAAATTTGGTAGGCTTTTCCTTAAATTTCTACTTATTTTCTATAGCTTAGCATTCAATGTGTTCTCAAGCAAGAAATCACATAATACAACACCACATCTTGGACTTCCTCATCATATGATGATTATTCCTTGAGGAATTTGTTTCTAGAAGGAAATATAATACAAGAGACATACATATTTATTTAGATAAAAAGTACTAGATAAGAAATAAATGTAGGTAGATTTAATATTATCTTACGACAAAGCTTTTGTGAAGCTTTATAGATGTATAATTGACTTTATACATATTTATAATTAATATGTAGGTTAGAAACTTGACCAACAAGTTAGCCATATATTGCATGTTATCAAGAAAATGAATCTCTTCAGGAGAATACAAGGTGCTTGATTATAAGTGGATTATAAAAAGCACAATGATTATAAGTGAACTCAAATATAAAGAAGATATCCAAAGGCTAAGTAAAATATTTAGATTAATTTCTTTCTTATATCAAAATGTACCCAATTTTTAATTCTAATTTCAAATCCAAACCTCTTCTCACTGAAATACCTATAACTCATTTATTATTAATCCAATATAAGCAAAATTTGACTCATTGAATATAATTGAAGTTACAAACTTCAAATTATTAAATTTAGTAAATAAAATTTTGAAAAAATGAGAACCAAATCAAAGAAAAAAATTGACTACTTATTGTAGTTGTAGCCTTCAAAACCCCCATCTATAAATTAGCTTGGATCTCCTTCATCATAGCCTTTCTTCT